TTATTGTTAACTGCTAAATTCTTGGGATGGACAAAAGAGTTGATTCATCTCAAGGACCCTGACAGTAGACATGGTATAATCTAGGCTGTGACAGATTTTACATCCTAGGGAGGGAGGCCGAGATAAAAACATGTCATCGTATCATGTCTATCCTGCATTTTCCCTCATCTCTCAGGTCCAATCCATTAGCTAGTTCTGTGGCTCCAAATAAACCTTGAATCTGTCCACTTCTGCCCAATTCTCTGCTACTGGCCTGATCCAAGCAATTGTCAGCTCTTACCATATCCTTCCAACTGGTCTCCACGCAAGAGGTTGGATGTTCCTTTAAAAAAGTCACATTATATCCTTCTCTTGTGCAGACCCCTCCAGTGTGTCCTCATTGTACTCACTCTAAAGTCCAAACTTTTCACCATGGCCTACGCAGCCCGAGGCCTTGCATGATCCAACCCTTGCCCATCTCTTATTTCATCTATTGGTTCTCTCACCCTCTATCACTGTGCTCCAGCCACACCAGCCTTCTCTCTGTTTCTCCAACATTTCTGTCTTATTTCAACTTTGGCACCCATCCACCTATTGTCTTCTGAAATATTGTCTCCGTCCTCACCCTGCCCACCCCCCTGCCACCGGTGCCTCTGGCTCTTTCTTGCCATTCAGGTGTCAGGTAGCATATACCTCCTCCACCCACTGCAACTAAAGTAGCAGCAGCTTTCTCTCCATCACATGTGGTAACATCACCTTGTGTTATGTTGTTCATAGTCTATAGCCAAGATCCCCCCCAAATCCTCTTTATTACTTGCTAACATGTTTGTTGTCTTTGTCCCATTTTAACATGTTGTCTCTCATTTGCAGGAATCTTGTCTGTTTTGTGCTCACTGTGTTTCAGTATATACAGTGATGCCTGGTGTACCCTAGCAATACCTAAGACTCAATAAATATTTGTTGAAGAAAATGAATGAGCACAGAAAACTAAGGAGGAACCAGAAAGGGCCCAACTTCATACAAAGGAAATAGCTTCTTCTTTTGCCAAAATCCACCTTTGATATTTCCAATTGCCTTGCTTCAACTGTCTACCATATGTAGCCAGAAAGCAAAGTCTCGGACCTCACACTTGCCTAATCTGTACGCTGCCAGGGTTGGCTGGGGGAGGGGGCTTCACTCATCTCTGTTTATTTGCGATTGCCCCTACCTGACTAAGCATTACCATAGGTAAATTATGGCTTCAGGTTTAACTTTTCCATTGTTTTAGATGCACAAGTGTTTATTTCCCTTAAAACACTCCCACTAAAAGGCACTGGCAGTTTTGGAGGAAGGTATGTTGCTGGCTTCCGATAGTCAACCAGGTCAAAGAACTGGGCATGCGCAGATGCCCTGCTTTCAACTTTGGTGAGAAGTTCGGTGGGTAAGGGCACAGTGTGCTGCTTAGCACCACTGAACATCTGGTGGAACAGGCGAAGAGGAAAGCAGTTAGAATTTTATTCTTTTTAGCATCATGTTAAATTGGCCATGAAACCAGGGATGGTGCGATTGAATTATAAGAGGGCTGAAGTATTAAATAAAAGTCTACTAGATAGTCAAGGTGTTTGGCCAGGTTCTAATGGAAGGCAAGGCAGATTTGAAAAACATTAAGTGGAAAAGACAACATCTTCTTTGCTCATAATTTGCCTCATTTAATACTGGGAGACAGGGCCATGGTGTTTGCACCTCTTTCAAGAGGTGATTTCTCCTGAGAAACAGGGTGTTTCTTTTTTGAAGGGGAATCGACAGGCCCTTAAATGTCAGCGGGATCCAGGAGAGTGGCCAGGTGGAACATTTTATCATCATTTCTCGTTTTCTTGCTTGTGACTTTTCTGTCTGGCCTTTTCCACGTTCTCCATCATGTCCAGACCTTGGACAGACTAACCTGGTCGATGAGGATGTTAAATTTGAGCTACTTTCAGAGCCAGAGTAAATGCATCTGTCAGGAGAGACGGACTCAGCTTGCCAACTCAAGGATGGCAGAAAACCCACTGCCTTTATCACCATTTAATCAAGACCCTCTATCATACTGGGTTAGTGGGAAATTCAACGTTGGTCATTTGGAGGGGGGCATGTCCCCTGGGATGTTTAAAAGCCACGTCTGAGGTGGGGAGGGAGACAGGTAAGCCCTGCTTTGTAGGGTTTGCTGATTTCTGTGACACAAATATTCCCTCTGCAGTTTGAGCTACTAACGTGGTGCCTGTGAGTGTGGGGCTGGGGGCAGAGTTTTGCGTTAGCCCCGCTGCTACTGTTCCCACCAGACAGACACTATGACTAGGAACAACCTCAAGGGCATAGGTCACAACAGTAAAATGTATAAAGTCATTAGGAACCGATGAGTTTCAAGTTTTTATTGTCTTTGTTTTAATATCACATATTTAATTGTAAGTTTATATAATTCAATTTTTAACAATAGCCCTGTTTCATAATTGGCTTGTGAATTTCCTGGAAATTTAGCAATTGTTTCTGGTTATAAGCTGGCTCACCACTGCTTGTTCCTCTCCTCGGGCTGGGTTGGGTGAGGCTTGGTATCTGGCACTTAACACAGATCAAAACATCTATTGGCACCTCTCCTTATTAGCTCTTATCTACTATTAAAGATTATTGTGGAAACTCAGTGCCCAGGCTCTGGAGATTCCGTGGTGTTTTTGTAGCTGGGCATTTGGGTTGGAATCACCTACCTCAAGGCCGATAATATCCAGCCTTTAAGAACCGACCTGGTCATGATGGCTGGGTATGGCCAGTGTCTGTCCTGATTGATTGGTGCCCATTGCCATACCGATGGTTCCGTATTTTGAACCTCGCCTCTGACCCAGTTTCCCCTTGCACCATGCTTTGAAGCCAGGACTCTCCTCCAGGCATGGCCGTGGAGCCAAGTGCAAATCCTGTTGGGAGGCTCATCTTCAGCCATGCGGTCTTCTGTGTTTGCTGCCTAGCATGGAGGCTGCCCCGACTCAGGTGGCTCCTGGCTTCCTGACTGGGCTTCCTGCCTGCCCGCCCTGGGGGCGTTAAGATTTCCAAGGCATCAGCCTCCAAAGCCTTCCAGCCTGCTTTCAAACACTGAAGGGCCAGTAGTCCTTATTGGGTCCCAGCTCTTAATTCTGATGGCCAAGTAGTTGACATATCATCCCCAAGCTTGGCTTTGTGTGAGACTCTGAGACTGAAGTCCATCAGCCCCCTCGAGCCGGGGACATTCTCTGCAACATTACCTCACCCTATTATATCAGTGTAACCAGGCTGCCATAGAATACCACAGACTGAGTGGCTTCAGCAGCAGACATTTTTCTCGCAGTTCTGCAGGCTGGAAGCCCAAGGTCAAGGTATGAGTAGGGCTGGTTTCTCCTGAGGCTTCTCTCCTGGACTTGTAGAGGGCACCTTTTTGCTGTGTCCTCATGTGGCCTTTTCTCTGTGTATTTATATTCCCGGTATCTCTTCTTCTTATGAGGACACCAGTCCTATTCGATTAGGGCCTGAATGTTATGACCTCGTTTAAATTTAATTGCCTCTTTAATGGTCCTACCTTCAAATACAGTCACACTGGGGGTTTGGTCTTCACCACATGAATTTTAAAAGGGACACGATTCAATTCACAACGACCCTTGAACACTTGAATGTGTTTGGCCCAAATGGATATGTGCCCTAAGGGTAAAATATACGCCGGGGTTTTCATCATCATTTTTCATCACTTTTCATCATGTATTCAAAACAGAATACAAAGCATCTCATTGATACTTTTTAAATGTTGATTATATGTTAGATGGTGATATCTTGGGTATATTGGGTTAAGTAAAATATATTATTAAAATGACTTGCACCAGTTTCCTTTTACTTTTTTTAGTGTGGCTACTCAAAAACTTTGAATGACATTGTGATTTGCATTATGTTTCTGCTGGACAGCAGGTATCAAAAGGCACGCCAAGAACTGACATGCCCATTCCTCCTGTGGTCACTGGGGATATGTCATTCTCTGGGGCCCTGTCTCGACCCCTCTCTTAGTCTCTTCCCCCCTTTCCTTCTCCCTGCCTTCTTTGCCCGCACCTTCCCACCTCCTCCGAGGCTCAGTCACCCAGTGCTGGAACCTTGTACTAGTGGACACGTCACGGGTAGGGATGCGGGTGAAATGTCTCACTGTGGTTTTCACTGTGGCCTGGCTCCAAGGGGGAGATGCCTAAAGTAAATGGGCCTTCACGCTGCCTGCAATACCCCCATGAGCACGTCTTGTGTGTTTTGTACTAAGAGAGTCTCTATTTCTTCCTCTACCTTGAGTTGCTTTGCCCAAGGCATCATTTATGATCCCCCCTTGGATCATTCCAGCTCCCAGGAAGGAGTTAAGGGGAGAGGAAAAAAAGAATCCTGTCTTACCCCATAGGGATGAATCAACTCTGGTCCTTAATCTGAATTTGCTCACACTCACAAGGAGGAAGGACTTGGTAGGCTGGGGAGGGATACGAACAGCACTGTATTCAAGGCCATACCAGGGGCACTTGATAGGCATCATTTCACCCAGTACCTCTAACAACCTCATGCCATATTCATTTTACAGGTGAGGAAACAGAGACTCGGGGAGGTTCGATAAGACTTCCAGTGGCAGCAGCTGGCAGGTTGCAGGGACAATATTTGAGACCAAGCCTGTTTGACTCTTGGCTACCACGCTGTAGGCCTGGAGCAAAAAGTAAAGATATTCCTGGAGCTCTCTTGGGTTGGATCCATATCCAGGAAGGAGAGCAGAGGGAATTCTAGGCAGGGACTGGCATGTGCAGGAGTGGGGACGTACTTCTGGTACAGGTACCCTTTGAAAAGTCTGGCCAGGAAATGAATCCTTGCGGGGTTACCCTCCTGTACGTCTTCTGCTTAGTGTTCAGGGTTGGCGGGGAGGTTGGGGGGGTGGGGGCCAATGGGACTCGGCAAGGACTTGTAGGCACCACCCCATAGCCTGACCACCCTGTCAGGCTGTCTATGGGTTATTCCATGCCGGGCTCACCCACCGGCTTCGTCTAAGGTCTTTCTTCAGGTTTATTATTTCCTTCTCCAAATGCCTGATGTTCTGCACTGGTTTCTCTGGGACCTGTTGGGAAAGCCAAGAAGTGAAAGAAAGAAGTATTAGTACAACTGCAAACAGGGAAGCCCCACTGCAGGAGGTACATGTGTTCATCTGATCAGGTTGGAGGGGTTTGAAGCAGTGCAGCATCCTTTTGTACACCTAAGAGGGACAGTGTGTGGGACAGTGGAAATATCAAGGGCTTCAGAGATAGGCAGATCTGATGCCAGATCCTGGTTCTGTCTGGTGACCGGCTGTGTGACCTTGGACAAATTACTCAACCTCTCTGGGCCTCATTTTCATTGGCAGAACGGGGGCCTAATTCCTACCTTGTTGTGACAGTTAAATTAACTGCTGCCAAATTCTGACTCATAGCAAGCATTTATAAAATAGAGGCTTCTATTATTAGTATTATACTCAAAGGAAAGCAAAGCATTAAATGTTAATCATCGTTGTTGGCAGCACAGGCAGCTGATTTTGAGGTCCCCAGCTCCTCAGTGTAAAGACGCGAATGTACTTTCTTTCCTCTTGCTGCCCGCACCCCTTGAGCAGGATTTTGTGAGTGAATTTTCCAGGTAATTGTTCATAGCTTTTTCTTTCCCTTCCCTCTATTCATTTGCCTTGACTGGCCATAGGGAAGCCTCCCCACGCTTCGGTTCATTACCCAGAAGTTGATAACAGGCCGCCATAAAGAAGAGAGTTAAATTAACTGCATTTTAATATAAAAATTACTTTTCTCAGCCACCAGTTTGGTGAAACAATAACAAAACTATTATCTGAATTAGCCTGTCCTGAAATTAATTTCTGCAACATTGGGGTTTTAAAAAATAATAAATAAAAGGAAATACCAAGAAATTATGGGAAAACAGGTGCTTTCAGATGAAGCTGCTGGAGAACACTTTGTGATGACTTTTCTGAAGGGCAGCCCGTCAGTGCCTGGCAAATGCTGGGACCGTGTGCCTGCCCTCGGGTGTGACCATTCCCCTGTCGTTGAGTGCCCCACGGGAATAACCGTGTGGGTGCAGAGGTTTACCCGCAAACTTCCCCAGGACGCTGCTCTTGGGAGCAAACTCTTGGAAGCTGCCTATTCACCTTAAATAGTTGCACTTTATCGAAGCAATAGACTACTGTGCAGCAATTAAATATAATGATATAAGTGTGTTTATTGTTACAGATGGAGATGTTTGAGTTTTTGAGTGGGAAGACATGTCACAAAGTAATATGTATCACATGATTCTGTTTTTGAAAAATGATCTTTGTGGATGTACACATATCAAAAGTTATGGGAAGCCAAGCCCCCACCCCCAAATGCTGTGATTCTCTGTAGGGGTGGGATTTTGACAAATTTTATTTTTTTTCTTTGCTTATGGGAGTTTCCTATTACTCTGTAATGAGTATTAATCAACTAAATAACAAAGAGAAAAGATTGTTAAAAATAAGTGGCCAGGTGAAGTTTGACAAAGACGGATTGCAAGCACTGCATTGAAGGTGCTGGTGTTATGTTAACCCTAAAGGTCAGGGAGTGAAGACAGGCCAGGAGCCCACTAACAGAAGTCATAATACGGACACGCGGGTGGGGGCATGGTGCCTGTCCCACAGCATCCGCACTCACCGTCTCTGACAAAGGAAGTGGGCTATGGTGCCTGCTTCTCTGGGGCTTTTAAGTGAAAGGTTGGGAGTGTAGCGATATGGCAGTTGAATGATTGTGGCAGGTGGTGGGGTGGAGCCTGGAGTCTGCAGTGGAGAGAAGGGACCGTCTGATTCTCGCCCCCGTTACTCCTGGTTCACGCAGTGCTGGGCACGGCAGCTCAGGTTAAGGGCGGAGAGGCTATGGCAGTCCCCCAGCGTACTCATAATTGCAGCTCCTTCTCATCCACTAAATAAAGTGTGTAAGGATACAAAAAAAAGTATCTGGGATAGCCTTGAATAAGCTCAACTGGATATGAAACAATGAAATCATTTATAAACTTTATCTGTTTAGCTATTATTAGAAATGACATAAGTAATATATCTTGCTCATCGCAATACACCAAGGGGTTTCAACTTGAACCCTTGGCTGAAAACAGATGGCAGACCTATCAGTTTTCATCTTGAGGGATGGATGGAATGGGCGGGAGACAGGCCTCCAAGGAGGCGTGTAAGGATCTCCAGCAGTACTTTCAAAAAGTTCTATGTAATAGACACTTGCTTTTCTCACCCCCATTATCCCTTCACCCTCCCTCTTGATAACCGGTTCCCTGGTTATATGGTACCAGCACTAGGGCTACCATGGGGTCCTGAATGGCTGCAACCAGATAGCAGAGCCCATCCCTCATCAGAGTGATTAGTCTTGGGGTGGTCATGGGCTAATAAGATGCAAGCAGGCATTTGCCAGGGGCTACTAGGAAGCATGATTCCTAGATCTTTTAAGGGCCCTCATGGACTACGATCAGAGGAGAAGACATTCACGGGAGATCTGGCAGCCAGTTTGACCATGAGGGGAGCCATCCTGCAGCTGAGAAAGATGGGGAAACAGACAAGAGAATCAAAGGAAAAGTTGTCCCTGGAGCCTTGTTGAACTGGTCGACCTTCGCTAGCACCTGGACTTCTCATAAAATTTCCTTTATTATTTGAACCAGTTTGAATTGGTTTTTCTGTTTCCAGCAACCACAAGATTTCTCTTTGAAATATGGCTCCTGGTGTGCCAAGGCAGTCGACAGATCAAGAATTATTTTAACCAGTCCCCCTTCGGATATCAAAATCAGATGACCCTATTCTGGCGCACTTTGTAGTAGAAGCAATGAAACTGGCCCTGTTGAGATCAAACATGTGAAATCAGGTTGCCTCTCTTTCTCATCCTTCCCTTTTTTTTAAAAGCACCCCACTAGCTCTTTCCTTCAGGACCAAAGTAACTTTCTTAAAAGATATTGTGAATTAAACACATTTACAAACAAGGAAAAAACAAACACACTCAAACTTCCCCACCAGGTAATTTGGAAGCACGTGATCAACACCTTGCTTGATGCCATAGCTGTATATCCATCACTCTCATAAATACCTCAGGTTTCACCCTCTCCATGAAGGAACTACGACACTGTCCAAATTTCAAGCATTTCCCCCTCAAATCCCACCTAATTTTAGTTGCCTGTGCACCAGGAATCCACACCATTGGAAGAGGGTGAATTTGCATTGATCTGAATTGGTGCTGAACAATGTGTAGAAGCAAAGCCAAATTGTGTCCTCAGACTTGACTTGACACAGAACTTTAGCAGGACAAAAGCCTCCCCAAAAGCCCTGCAATTAATGTCAGCATTTCAATGGATTCTTGGGAAACCTTTTTCATTAAGACCATTGTTTAATTACAATTAGAGTAAGCTGGCAGTAATAATTGGCTTTGAGTGAGGGAGTTCTGTTTGTCAGGACATTTACAAACACCATTTGCTAGAAACACATTTAAGTTTCCAGAGCATCCAAGGAGCATCTCTACAACCTTGCCGGGTTGGTGGCAGTTTCACCATATGAATGACAAGCCTTAAAAATACATTTCCTTTTACCCCAGCAATTCCACTTCTATCCAAGGAAATTACACAGAGAGGGTGAAAAGACATCCACGAGGATGTCTATAACAGCAATGTGAATAATAGTGAAAAACATACAAATGTTCAGCAATAGACTTTGGAGCGGGGGAGGGGGCGTTGTGAACCATGGTCTATCCAGACAATGGTATATGATGCATATGAATTCGGTGCTACTATTCAATGTCGCAATCGATGTATACTTACTGATGTGGAAAGGAATATAATTTCAAGTGAAAATGCATGTTACAAAATATAAAGAACTTAGACTATAGAGAATTTGAAGACTTATATTTATAAAAATATATAGAAATTTCTAAAATTTTACATAACCTGATACAAATTATGTCTTTTAAATTGATTTTAGAAAGAGAGGAAGGGAAAGAGAGGGAGAAGAACATCAATTTGTTGTTCCACTTATTTATGCATTTGCATTCATTGGTTAATTCTTGTATGTGCCCTGTCTGGGGATCGAACTCACAACCTTGGTACAAAGCTCTAACCAACTGAGCTACAGGTCAGGGCCAAATTATGTTTTAAAATATTTATATATGGCAAGGTATATGTATAATTATAAAACAAGCTAGAAGTAAATAAAACAAACTGTCAGCACCGATACTATCTCGGGGTGTTTGAATTATACATAAATAATTTTTAATTTGGGTTATCTTTCTCCCTAATATTAAAATAATTTGCATATATTACTTCTGTAATAAAATAATAGTGTCTTTCATGTTTATAAAGCAATTCTGACTAATTCTACCAATATAAGCAAAATGTGATTTTTCATTGGTATTTTAAATTGAGTAAATGTCTGGAATGAAGTAAGTTAATAGTTTATTTTAATACACTGTATCATGCAGGAAATCAGGGCTCATGCGGATAGTTCAGTATAAGAATTCAACATAGGGGAGCAGTTCCAAAGGTGCTGGAAGGGCTGAAAAGCCCAGTAAGGGATGGCAAGACAAGTCAGAAATGGACGAAGAAGGAAGACTCTACCGCCTCCCCGGACACCAGCTGGCAAGGGTGCCTGGGAAATGCAGTTTACAAGGTTCAGCCTCCCTGTGGGATGCAGGAAGTGGAGATGAAGGTCAAAAACAAATGATTGTGGTTACAGCTTATGCAAATACCTTGGCTTCTGGTGCTGCCCAGCTACTTTTGGAAGGACAAGCTGGCTGACAGTTTTGCAGTTGGAAACTTTGTATATTCCTTACCTTTTGATCCTAAGCCTGAGATTCCTAGAATTTTCCATGGTTTAGGTGCCTATCCAGAATTCTTTCTCCCTGCTTTACTCTCCAGCCCCCTGTCAAATTCATTAACAAAGTGTGTGTCTAGGGAATCCAGAACCCTCCCATTTCTGCCAGTTTCTTTTCCCAGAAGTATTGTATGATGCAGGTCTTTGTAGACCACCACTTCTTGCATCAGAACCTGTGTGTTCTATGTCTCATAGCCTTCAGGTCCTTATCACTGCTA